CCCACCAGCTTCCCTTGTCGCTCCTGAGTTTCTGCCCTGCATTCCCATCCCGACCACTGAACTCCAATTCAAAATTGTACATGCTTCCCTGAGCATACACAGTGCTGCCTTTACACATGACATCATGCCTGAGGTCTACGTGATGATGTTAAGGGTTTGGAACCGTGCATGTGCACATTCCTGAATGAGCTCAGTGTGAAATTGCCCACAGTTGCCAGTGTCAGCAAACATTGCCTAGGAACTTACACAGTTGTATAACAAAACAAAGAACTGTGGATGCTGGAATTTTGAAACAAAAACGGAAATTGCTGGCGAAACGCAGCAGTTCTGGCAGCATCTCTGGAGAGAGAAACACAGTTAATGTTTCGAGTTCAGTGACCCTTCTTCCGAAATATTGACTCTGCTTTCTCTCCACAGATGCTGCTAGAACTGCTGAGTCTCTCCAACAATTTCTGTTACTGTTTAAAATACACACCTGCTTTCCCTGATCTCACAGGTCCCAGAAACCCTGGAGAGAGCACCATGCTGATTGAGGTCTTCCTGGTCGCAATTTGTCAGGCAAATCTCCACAGAAGGGCTTGCTTTCTCTCTGTGGATGCTGTCTGACCCGCTGTGATCTCCAGCATTTTTTGTTGTCAGTTCAAAACTCCATAGGAGCTCTATGGGAAAATGCACATTTACCAATGAGTGGGCACCCTTTGTTTACCACTCACAGCGGCATCTTTTAGTGTGGATCAAGACATCATTGATCACTCCCTTGCACTTCTTCAGAATAATGTAAACTCCCATGGCAAAATGTTCATTTCCATTCAAATTGCAGATACTAGTCAGAAAAGGTACTCGCATCTCCCTGTTTTGGTCATTGATAGCTCTCTTCTCACATTAATATTAACTTGTATGTTTATCCATGTTTGTTCTCTCCTTCCACAGAATCTCGGCTCCATCAAAACTCTCCCGAATATGAAATGCTTCCTGCCAAAGCCAAGATTCTCCAGTATTTAATGGTCTCCAGTTTTAACCAAGAAGGGATCTACGTATAACTTTCATTTTATTCCGTTCTGGACTCATACGAGTAAAACAGATCACTCCAACACATGCATAGCCTGTGCTAGCAGGCTTGGTTCTGAGTTGATAAGTATCAGGCAAATAGGAAGCATCAGTGGACCATTGGAAACATTAGAAGGGGGTCATGATTCTTGCTTTAAGGCTTCTGCCACATGAAGGTAACCTGCATCCAGTTGCATCTTGTATTTGGATGTTGCTGTTGGTCTGGACACACTAATAGCATGGGGGCATTATCCTAATGCAGTTCAGTCACATCCAGAAAGACATGGTTATAACACTGAGAATGAATCTGAACATATCACTTATAGTATTGAAGCTGGTACAATTCATTTGTCATCAATGACAGTACAAAGACTGTGTTCTGTACTGGGTCGACTACAGCAATAAATTGTATTTATAAAATGACATTAATTAAATAAAATGTACTTAAGCATTTTGGCCCAAAGAAGCTGAAAGCATGGTCACCAATAGTGGAAAAATTAGAATCAGGGAGCTCAAGGGGTCAGATTGAAATGAATGCTGATATCCAAAGGGTTAAAGAGAAGATTACAAAAATAAAGAGCGGCATCCACCGAGCACAGTGCACAGATTACATGCTGTGCATTTGACTATTAAGTAATTCTACAGTGCATTTACATCTGGAACTATGTATACCTTGTTAGTCCATTGGGTCCTCTAACTTGTATTTATAAAAAGATAAACATTACGTTATTGCATTAACACAGTCTATCATATGTTTTCATGTGAATCTGACACAGAAACCGAGGCTAACAGGATATATATAATACATGAATACCCAGAGACATGCTGCTACCAGGAACTGAAGGTTCACTGTTCTCCTGCAGTTTACTAAGTTCCTGTGCATGATGTACGTAGGTCATGTACTCAGACTGAAAACCATATTTCCAGACTAGCAGGATTTCAATTTTCTTATTCACTGCACAGTCTTATAATCAGCTGAAATCTTGTCAACACATAAGAGATGTAAAACTGGTGCAGGGGACATACAATATAGAAAACACTGCAAATGCAAAAATGTACTGAATAATTAGAGAGTGAACACATTTTTTTCCCACAATTAACTCCAAAGTTTGCCATTCTATAACAAGAGCAGTTGAAAGCTCAATGCTAACTACACAAAAAAAGTACATTGATGGACCTCGAAAGGAAGCTAAAAATCTCAGCCATTATCACTTTACTAGCAATTTGTTTTATACATCAAACAATTTAGATCATTTCAGATCGCTTAACTGTGAAATCGAGTCACATGTCAGTGTAATTCATTCTTAAAGCTACTGTGCTATCAGTGTAGCTTGTCTTCTTGTACCATGGGTTTAGAAACACTTTAGAATTGTCCTGGTATCTCCAGTAATGCAGAAGTCATATAACAGCACAGAAATAGGCTATTCCATCCATCAATTCTTTGGCAGATTAATCAAAGCACATGCTTTGAATATAAATATCGTTAGTTATGATAACATTGAAACTGGGAGAAAAAATGTTTACGATCAGATTGTGTGGTTGGAGGTAAGAGATGATGTAGTGAAACTTTGAGGAATGTATAAAACATTCATAAATCCCTTCATGTGAAATGGTTCTATCCATTCACCTGCATTCTGATTTTCATTGCAGTTGCTGGGACAAATGTAGGGAATTTCTTTGTCATCTTCAGCTTAGATTTGGGAAAGGTGAATTTAGTGAGCTCACACATGCCAAAGCCCGAGTTTTCATTATTTTAGTTGTAAGTGCAGAGTTGGAAAAGTTACAAATTTCAAAATTGCCCTGGACTGTCAGATTTTGGTTCAGCGCAACTGGGGAAAGGGTGATGGATGGTGCCAGGGATGGTACCTCCCAGCAAGAGTTTGGAGGCAGTTTATTACTGTGTGTAGAAATAGGTTGCCAGCTTCAGTGCTCCAGTACTTTGTCCCTGCATAAAAAAAAACATTCTTCTAGCTCTTACCATCACATAATCCCTGTGCCCCACACGTGCCACCTCATGCTTCCCACTACTTCCATTGCCCTTCATGCCCTCCATGCCTGCCTACAGCCCTTTAGCCTACTCGTGACCCTTTATAGCCCCATGCCAACTTAATGCCAGCTCATGCCAAACAAGACCCTCCCCAACCAACACCCTCTGTCCTTACACCCTCTGTGCCCAACTCACCATGTATCCAACATGAGCAGACTGCAGCACCCATGCTGAAGTGAAATAGGTTTTGAGTTCTTGAGAGTTAATGGTGAATTTACAACTTAGAAAGCACTCCCATTGAACAAAAAGTATGTACTACATTTCACTTTCTTCAGCTACTTATTTCAATGAGCTTGACAGTTCTGACAACTTGACAGTTCAAATGAGCTTCATAATCCCTTTGACAACTTGACAGTTCCCTTGACAGCTTGACATTACCAATGAGTTTCACAGTTTCCTTGACAACTTGACAGTTCTTTTGACAGTTTGACAGTTTCAATGGGTTTATTCACCTATTATGCACATTGATGTCTATCTTTAATAATCTCCAAAAGCACATGATATCTCTCAAAGAACACCATGCCTGTCCCAAAGAGCATCTTACCTCCTCAAAGACATCCCTGGGCCATTCAAAAGAGGAACCAAAGTGTCTCCAAAGATCTACAGCAGCACTAGACCTTCTCCTGAAAAGTGTAAAACCCACAAGTTTAGTTTTGGACAGGCACATTACCTGTAACAGTGCAATGGAACATTCAGTCTCAGAGAGCCAGTACAATTCTCCAGGAGTTGTTGCACTATAGCTGAAACAGGTATAATAGGAACCGGTCCTTGATCATGGTCGACCTTGAATATTAAGGATTAGTCCAAACTTGCTGTCCATATTAAATAGTATGTAAACTGATATTCCATTACTTATCCAATTGAGCAGTAAGGAAGATTCAGTATGTAACACAGTCCTGAAGAACACAACTTCCAACATGCTGATCTTTCCTCCACTCGCATTAAGCTCATAAATACACTCATGTAAAAGCTTAGCTTAAAGGGATGATCTTTTTCACAACACACAATGTTGCATCATGGCACAGATTCTGGCCCAGTCAGGCCAGTACCTTTAAAACAATCACTTGACCTCATAACTTATGGTGTTCTAGTATAAAGGTACACACCTCATCTTCAGTCATTCTTTCTGTAATGGAGTCAACGCAGTGTCTTTAGACAGTCAGCAATGTGCACAGTAAGCACGGAACCCAGACTTTGTGCATAAATCTGTGATATTGCAGCCACTAATAAACTTAAAGACATGACTATCTGTGGTATATGATGTGTGCTAAGATGTAAAAAAAACTACAAAGCATATCAGACAACCATTTTATTACCTAATACTGAAAATCACTGAAAAAAAACATTGACAATGTCGAATTCACAGCAGTGTTGATTTGCTCATTAAAGAATAGCCAGTATGCCCTGAGTTCGGTAAGGGTGTGGGCTAATGATCCCAGAGCTTTTCCCTTTATCCATTTCCTCATTCTTTGTGCAGTGCGTTTGATCTTAAAACAGATTCAAGACACTCTGGAGCAACAAAGTTGAGAATGGCATACTTTTAGCACTCTAAATGCCAAATTCTCTTGGAGCACATGAGCCTTGCTATGCAGACCATGACCGCTATCTCCACTTTCTTGAGGCTCCTCAGACTTAGGAGGACTCCACATTCTGTCCAGACACTCCTTATTGGTCCCTAGCAGCTGGAGCCTTACTCCAGTTCTCCTCATCTTATCCCCAGGCATTCGCATAGGCCCCAGGCTGCTCCTGATTCATGCCCTCTGCTCTGCCCCTCCCCAGCCTGGCCGTGACAGCATTCTGTGTACCTGAAATGCCCACTGAGACTTGTCCAATTCCCTTTTCCCCAAAACATCTGGTCCTTCACTGAAACCAGAATCCAGGAGTTAAGGCCCGACTCAACTCTCCCAAAACAAAGACTTAATTGAACTTTAGCTGGACGTACTGAGAAGCATCACCTGATCTGGCAAGGGAATTGAATGTACATTTAACATCGCATATTTTCATAAATGTACACACCTTGCTTTTTGAACAATCAGTGGATTATGTAGTGGAGTATTCAGCCATGACTGAGTTCCATGTTCGTGATCGCTCTGTGACCATATGGTGTGCTCACTAGCATCCTGGCTACACTCGAATAAATTTGACCGAATGGATCAAGTGCAATGGCAGGGTTGTTGGGCAGAGGTAATGACACTCAAAGCATGACAAAATAGCTGCAGAGATATTACTTAGAGTCCTTGCTCATTCGCATGCACTGTAACTGTAGAGGTGCAGAGGTGTCAGCACCTCTGCAGTTGGCTCATATTAAAAAAAAAGCAGCTCTGGTTTAAGATCTTTGTTGAGTGGCAGGCAGCTGCCATTCAGTTTGAAGGAAAAGCTTTGAGCACCCTTCATTAGCAGGTGCACAAGTGGCCTGCATTCAACTGAGACATGCCTGATTGATAGGCTACTGCATAATTGCTGGAGCCTGATGAGAGCCACTGGTGTAGATGTTTGTGACAGCAGTCACTATCAATGACAGCTAAAGGAAAAACATGAGCAATTCTAGAGCACCATTTAACAGCGTTGCTGATCCATCCTCAATCTCTGCAGCAATGTAGTAATGTAAAAGAAGACTTCTTTTCACTGGGTTACCACTTTGAATTCTGGGCAGTGCCCCAACAGAAAAAAGATCTTGATCTTGCAATGAGCGCTATACAAATTCACTAGAATGGTGCTGGACTTAAAAGAGTTAAATAATAAGGTCAGGTTGCACAGTCTAAGCTTGTAGTCAACTGTGTGTGTAGAAGATTAAAAAGTGTGAAAGATAGAGAATGATTTGTTTAGGTACCTAAAGAGAAACTATTCCCTGTGGTGGGGGAATACAAAACAAAGGGTATAATGATAAAATTGGCAAGTGTGTTACAGATTACCAATCAAGGTGGATTAGTGGAATCAAAATATAGATTAGCTGGAGAACAGGCAGGAGGGATGAAAGACCTGTTTTACTTTTTCATTCTTATTTTTTTCTTTACAAATCTGTGTTTATTACTCCTTACCATTCAGTTTTCTGCTCGGGAATGCATTTACTAGCAGACCTCTGAAAAGAATAGGAGAAACGTCCTACATGTAATTTCTAATACTCACAAGCACATCCGCCACTTAGTTCAATCACATTAACTTCGGAAACTGGGGGTGGAATTTTATAGGAGCCTGGGCGATGAGGGCTCAGGTGGAATTTGAGGCAGAATCACTTAAGAGGTCTGGCAAAGTCTATCTCATCATTGGGAGCAACCCGCTCCAACTTTTATGTATTTGCCAAGCAGAGAGGTGAGTTTCTCACTAGGCAGCAGTGAGTTGGTCATTAAGGGGATTAGTGCTTATTGACAGCCCAATTCACCTCATTAATAAGCAGTTTCCTACCTTACCAAACACACCAAACAAGCTGGACAACAAGAATTCTCGACATGGAAGTCAGAGTGCGTATCTCACGACTTCAGTTCACCACTATCTCCAAAAGACCTCCATGTCGGTCACCAAGCACCAACATCTCAGAGCATGCTCCATGGGCACCAGTGACTCACATCCCACAACAAAGGACATTGGCATCCAACATGCCAAGTTGTAAGAACCCTCATGATACATCTCGAACACACGTACAGGATGCTTCTACACTCCAGCGCTGTATCTTAGTCTGTACCAGAAACTACCA